TTTCCACAAATTACGGCACTCGAAAAAACAACAACAACAAAACACACACAAAACAATGCAATATGTAAAAAACAAAAACAATAAGATATGAAATAAATAAAATACCATAAAACGAGTGTTAAGACTGAGAGTTTAAAACAAACATCTTATAAAATGGTAAACTACTAAACATATGTATATTATTAAAGTAGCAAACTGTAAGTCAAGGCACCGAGTGATAAAGAATATTTCCATAAATGTGTACGATAGAAAGTTAGTTCGAAAGGGTAAAAAAAAGAAACGTGTCACGATGATTTGCACTTTTAACTAGCATATCTGCTCACGACATTCAACTAGAGTTCACAACGAGTACAACTCTTTAGGTGACTCACGATTTCATTACGTATCACGGTATGTATAGATCTCAGACCACTGAGTATAGATGTATTATACCTTCGTGGTGAAAGTAACAATGAAGCTAAAGAAACGTGAAGAAAGGCCTCTCTTATTTACCTATACAAACGACAGCAATGAATACCCATCCCCGTACTAACTCAATAAAAACCGGAATTTATTTTATATGTGTATGTGTGACCGATGACGGGTTTGGTTAAAGTAGAGTACAACGATCCCATTCATTTGGAAATAATTATTCAAATGAGCTCTAAAGTTGTTGCACTGTTTTGTACCGCTTGACAACATGACAAGTGCCATCGTGTAGATGACATGTTTGTAAAAAAAATGTAAAACTAAATAAACTGATCTTCCGATTCTGTGTATTTTGTTTAGTTCAAGTAATGAACTTTCCGGGTAATCAGAATGTATACATTGCATTTAAATATCCAGCGACATAAACGCCAAAATATATGTTGGATTGTTACAATTCCGTCAAACAGGCATTAATGGAAGAAGTTAACAAGTGTATTGTCTGCATTGTGCAATGTCATTGGAATCGACATTATTAAAGTAGATCACAATCAATGTAGGTCGTTCGTGTTCATTTCTTACCAACACAAAGTATGCATAGCATACTATCATTAAAGTAAAGCTTTCAAGGCCAGAGCTGATAATTACGCATTGAAGTAGACCACTCGTCAAACGCTATATGAACAAACAGGAAGGTAAAATGCAGGTGAACTATTTCTATTTTACCTTTATGGGACAAACTACTAAGATGAAAATTAAAGTTTACAAACTTGGTTCAAATTACAACATACTAGGATTTAGGTAAAAATGAAGGTGAACTAGATCTATTATGGGACAAACTACTAAGATGAAAATAGAAATTTACAAACTTGGTTCAAATGACGACATATATACTAGGATTTACGAGTATATATTCTCGGCACAACAAACCCATATTCTGGGCTGTATATTAAAAAACGCCGCTTTTCTCCGAGAGCATAACAGACTGTGGCTGATTGTCTGACCACTTCCGTGTCACACACCGGGAACATACAAGGACAATCACAAATGTTTGACAATTACGATATCAGAGTTGAGACACCGAGATTTTACCATTAGTACCAACTCATGACAGTCACAGAAAGTTTACGAAAAGGACAGCTGACATTACACAATGGTCGAGTATGGAATGCATAGAGCAAAGAAAGCGTCAGGTTACTACTATACAACGACAACTACGAATAGTCACAGTCCCTATAGAGAGACTGTGGAATAGTCAAGCCATTCATCGAATCACCGGTACAGGCCATGGTAGGTTTGACCCAAATCGAATCGCAACTTACGTAATCTATTATCGGCGATGTTAACCCACGACACGAAGCCCCTCGGAGCCTATTACT